CCCCCCCTGCCTCTCTGCTGGAGCCCACAGCCCCGAGCACCGCCGAGAGCAAGGGCAGTTCCCTGCACTCAGTGCTGGTGCACTCCTAAGAGACCGGGCGGGCGGGGGACGCGAACTCCAGGAGAGACGCCTGGCCCGGCATGCACCTGCCACCCGAGGGGGAGAGGGCGCCCTGGTGAGGCGGGCCGAGCAGGCAGTCCAAGCCTTTGCAGGGAAGGAAGGTATCTAAAGGGACGAAAAACCCGGAAAGTGGGTTTTCCAAGTGGTCTGAATAAATATAACCCTCCCGGTGTCTGTGCTTATACCATGTTGTACAATCAGAGTAAGAAAGCTGATTTTCAGGTAAGAGTTTATGTTGTAATTAATATTATAACCAATAAATTATGCGGGAAGGGAAGAAGGAGGGTAGGAAAGCTTCATTCGCTGACAAATTGGAAATGGATTCCAACTCGTATTCCTGGGAGTCGAAGCTGGCCGAGCTAAATCTCCGCAGAAGGCAAAAATCCGAGAGAAAGTGACGTTGAAACGGATCTTGGCCACCAAGTTTCCCGTCGTCGGTCTCATCCCTGGGCAGCTGCCTGACATGAACAATCAAGACAAAACTGCCACCTACTAAGGAAATGTCGTTTTACTTGAAAAGGCGAAGTGGAAGCCAGCGGCACCGTTTTCCCCTAGTCCGCCAAATGGGCGGGAACACGGTGTCACGAATAAAGTCGTTGGGGAGGTGAGGTAGGGAGTGGGACCCTACGAAAGATCTTTGGGAAATCGTTTTTTTGGCTGTGACCCGGGGGTCGAGAAGCGTAGGAGGAACCGCTAAAGCAATTAGTTTGTACAAAAGAGAATGGCAGCGGCTTAAAGAGCAAAGCCCCAGATTCCAAAAGTAAAGTTCTGGAAACAGAACCAAAGAGGGACAATGAAAGCGACTTTCCACCTGCAACTCGTTTGTGTAACATTCGGATGAGAGATCCTTAAGGAGTCCGAAAGAATAATGTGAATTCCCACGATCGGTTCCATTAGGAATTTTAAAGAAAAAATAATCACTTGTATCGTGGGATTGTGTTCCCCTAACTCATTAATACACGAAAAACCGGGCATGTTATCCGACAGTATTGCTCTTAACGCTTGGAGCGTTAGGTGTCCGATGTTCCCTTCTGCCTCCCGGGACACAGCGAGGGATGACCGGGTCATCTTTGCACGCTGAGGTCGATTTGGTAGTCCGTGTGCTGTTCGGACGGTTTATCTTTCAAGCGAATTCTTCTGTTTCAATTCGTGCAAGTAATTGGTCGCTGTTGCCCTTCCCCCTTTATGAGCCCCCAGGAATAGCACTTTAATCGCCACAAACTTGTAGGAACGCAGGGGGCGGGGTGGGCGGAATCGGTTTTGCCCTTTGGCTCTCAGTCACCTCTGGCTTGTGTCCGCGCCGCGTTCGGGTTGTGACTTTGTTCATGTCTGCCGGTGTTGTACGCGGTGTTCTCCATTAAAACTTCCGTCTGGATAGCCGGTGCCGGTGTTTCGCTTCTCAAGAGACAAGTTCACTGATTGACCGTCTACTGGCGGCCCCAGAACGCTGCAAATCATCTCCCTCCCCTTAATTTCCTAATTTCACAACTTCAAATGGGTGAGTTCGCTGGCGAGCCACCACTAGGAACAGGTGTTTTCCATTGCTCCCTTTTATTAATCAGCAGGTGCGTTATGTCCTTTTCTACTTATTTTTATCATGCTTGTTTCCTAGCTGCGCTTAAGCCCACCTCACTATTAGAGGTTGAATTAGCAAAAATCCCTAATAGAGAATTTTTTCTGTTCCTAGCTGAGGTTCGTATCAAAACGCCATCACCACCACGCGTCACCCCTTTCCCTTTTCTGAGGTCTTCCAGGGCGGGCCAGGGCCAAGGACTCAGTGCCAGAGGGGCGGGTGCTGAACAGCACCCCCTAAGTCTATGCGGCTGCCTGCCGTGGGCAGTGAAGTTGGTGCCCGGTCTCTGCCAGGGCCGCTGCGGCAGGCATCAACTAGGCTGCGGGTCAGCCACTGGATCCTGGAAGACCTGTTGCGCTCGGGAGCCGGGAGCCCGGAGCCCGGCGGTGCCCTCCGCTAGCCCAGCGTCAGGGCTACGGTAGCAGCCGAGGGCGAGCAGCGCAGAGAGCTCGATACATGAGTTGGAGGCCGGGCAGTCCACGCTGCTGCAGAGCTGTGCAGGGAGCAGGCGAGGCGGTCTTGGCCAGGGTACAGGGAACCCACTGGGGCCGGGAAATCGCCGCTCTGCCTCCACCCTCCACCGTCCAGCAGGCTCCACTTCGAGCTAACTTCCTTCCCTCTGCTCAGCCAGGCACAACGAAAATCTCTGACCTTCCAGCAGAAGAAAATAAAAAGCCAAAGAGATGGCCTGTGCTCAAAAACGATGCTGGGGGAGGGGAGCTGTCAGCTACACCTTTAGAACAGGTGTTTGCACGTGCCTCTTGTAATTCTCAACACAGTGTAACTGTTTTGACCTCGCCCGGCAGACAGTCTCAGGTCACTGCCTTCTTGGGGGCTCAAATAATTCCTGAGATTCTGCAAAGTTTCCTGCAGGGAAACCTTAACCGCTGCTAGTCTGAGGCTGTTGAAAGAGAGAAAAGGAGGGCAGGGGAGACACTGACATGAAGGTCTTGGATTTGGGAGGGTCTTAGAGTGTGCCTTCTCTGTGCCACTCCCGGTGAAACTCCAGGTCTGAACCCTAGTTTGGAGGCAGGGAGTCGCTGGGGAACAAGAGGTCGCTGGATCCCAGGGGTTTCTTGAAAGACAATCCTCTCTTCCTTCCCCACCCCTAAGGTCCTGTGTACTTTTCAGCAGTGCCCACGGTCTCACTCCCGGGGAACAGGCACGGCCCAATATGATCCTAGGTGCCCGGAGGGCTGGGTCAAGGGGCAGTTCCTCCCCAGAAGAGAGGAACCTGTGGACCGCAGCGCTGACGAGGATGAATATTCACCCTCATCGTTTTCCAGAACCTTCCTGTCACCCATTCCCTGCCCTGAAAGACCTCCTGCCTTATTTTGTTTATACGGTAAGGAGAAAGAGGAAGGAAATTATAGCTTTCATCCTGGAGGACACCCTGGTAACTGAAAGAAGTTGGGAATGGCGTGGAGACTAGAAAATTCTTGTAAATAAACAAAGTGGGAGGAGCTTTTCTGCCAAGTTGGTTCCCTAGGGAGGCCCCAGTTAAAGCCTCTTTTCACTGAGATAGGCGGTTCTGGCAAGTTGCCAGACGGGAACCTAGACTAGCCTGGACACTTCTCTGAGATACCAAGATGGGGAGAAACCCAGGCTGCCACCCATCCTCCTCACTAGAATCAGATTTGTATCCTCAAGTGGCAAAAATCAACCCACTCAAAGAAATGGCAGCCAGGTTGTCAGTGCTTATTTTAAACATTTTAATGGGGGCCAGGCTATTAACAAAGTATTGTCCTGGCAATAGTGGAAGTTTGTGCAGAACTACTAAAACTGGTATAAGAAAAATAAATTGATGATGGTACTCTAGGAACCCTTTCCGTTAAGTATATGATTTCACATGTTCTCGTAGGCTTTATCTTCCTTGTCACACGCTGAGGTAAAAGGAAAGTTAAATGGGCATAAGTGAAATGGAAGCGGGGACACTTACACGTTTATGACTACCGCAGTTCACAAGTTTAGTAAAATCCCTGTTGGTAGGCAAAGTCCTGGTGCACAGAACATGAAATTATGCTCCTGGTTTCCAAAATGATGAAAAGCTGTAGTTACCTAGCCTCTATCTCACTTAGCTGAACCCACAGACCCTGGGAAAGATCGGAGAAAGGGGGAGGAGTGACACCTTTAGCATAGATGTTCTTAAACTAAACTTAAGAGGAAAACAATTTGGAGTGGTCTATTTCGTTACATTTCCTTGGAAGGCTGAGAAGAGAGTTGAAGGCAGCGGGAGGGACTAGCCATGATCCCGAAGAGAGCAGGCCTTCCTGCAGGGGCCGGTGGTGCTGGCACGGTTGGCATCTGGCACTTAGAGAGCCTGTCAGTCAGGCTGGCTTGTGGTCAATTATCTCCTTAAGTAGACTGGCATTAGTCCAGCCAGGGGGAGGACTAGTTGCATCCATAGGAATCAGAGCCAGTTAGCTGGAAGTGGCACTGCTGAATTCCAAGCATCTATGCATTGGGGGATTGGAAAGCTGATCAACCCATCTCCTAGGGGACTCAAAGGTGACATTTGCCTGCTTGGCACCAGTACAGGAAGACTTCAGAAGAGTACAGAAATAGAATGCCATAGAGGGGGGAAACTTACCAAAGCCACTGATTCCTTTACATTCCATTCACCTAACAAAACTGCCATTTCTGATACACACGAAGTAATACAAAGATCCTTACAAATTGCACTGAGATCGGTACTTTCACTGGGTAAGAATTCTCATCCTTATGGCTGGCTGGTGGCATGGTGGTTAAAGGTGCTGGATTACCACATGACTGACCATGGTTCATGTCCCAGACCTGGTGACTTGCTTTCTCCCTTTCGCTTTCTCTCTCTCTCTGGTCAAATTAATAATAATAATAATGCAAATGAATTAAATAAATAAATTATTATTTTTTAAAGATGAAGAATTCTCCTCCTTTACTCAACCTAACTATGAAATGGGAGGAGGGTATGCTTAGGGTTGGATGATGTGCAAGGATTGAAAATGGTATTAGAGTATCTAAGTACACGATTATAGATTGTGCATATGTAATTCTGCTTGGGGGTACAGGGCAGGGTAGAGTTGACATTGGAAGTGGGACACTGATGAAATGGTTGCAAAAGCCAAGGATGACCTCTTGTGGAATTAAAGGTAGAGTGGGGATTCAAGTGTAGTGGGAAGTCCTTGAATTCCAGAGGACAAAATGATTCCTTCAAGTTCAACATTCTTATTTTGTTCATTTAAAATATCTTTATTGATATTATCTTTCAAGGTTGAAATGTTACCTTACCCCTTTGGAGGAGATCGAAGAGATCTGTTTGGGATTTGAATTCAGTCTTAAACCATTGTTTAAATGGCATGAGCTTGGCAAAACTCCAGGTATACCCTGTCCCAAGCACTTTCCCCCTTTAACTATCCCCTGTATATTGGATGGAAAATTTAAGCCACATGTTGCTCTCCACCCCACCCCCACCCCCGCCTTGCATCCAAATGTAGTTTTATTGAATTTTAGCACAGTCCATGAAATTCAAATTCTGGGTTTTAAGCCATAATGTATTCATACGATCTACACACAGCCACATGATATGTACATATATCATTAAGCAGAAAATAAAGCCTCTGAGAACTTCAGCTGTATTATTATAGTTATATTTCATTAGTCTGAAGAGCTATGTTGAGGATGCCTATTAAAAAGGACTTTATAACATTTTTTAAACATTTACAAAAGCTAACACAATGAGTCACAAAAATACTTTTCAAGACTATTGCTGAGATATTTTGGTTGCGCTTAGTCAAAATAGTCTTTTCCTGCCTTGAGGAACAGGGTCTTTTGTGCACGTGGGACATTCAACCTTTGCTCATAAGTCACAGACCTTATTACTGCAGCATCATTTTAGAATATGGCAGCCCCTAGGGACCAGCAGGTGGCATGGTGGTTAAGGCTCT